GCATAATGGAAGAAACTTCCTGGTTGTCAAAGCAAATTCACATTGAATTGAATTGGACATAGATTTGAGGTCCTTTTGTATAAATACAGAAATATTGGCACTTGGGACAAAAAGAATTTAAGAAAGTTGCATTTTAAAAATTCAGATAAACTTTGGAAAAATAGCATCAGTTAAAAGTGTTGAACAGATCGTAATCTCACGGTAAGTAGCCCAGAAACTGGGGATAATCATGCAATTATTATCTACGTTAGCCAGGACCAAACTGATCAATGGGGTTAGATAATAACCATTTATTTATAGGATATATAGGCTGCATGAAAAATTAGGAAACACCACCAGATTGGGCATCTGTATTGCAAGTAAATTGTAAGTGGAATAGAAAAAACAAGAAGAAACTAAACTGCAGAAGACTTCTCCAGCTATAGATTTATTCATCTGTCTAATACATTGTACCTACAAAAGTAAACAAACATGTAAGCTTTTAGAGCAGGTAGCGGTGCTCTATAAGACAGATATGACGTGCCAAGTAATACATTTAAGGTGATTACATGCAGTAATTTCACTGGAGTTATGAACATTTCTGACATGATAATGGTCTAATGACAACGTGGATAACTGCATGATCCCATATTCTGTTGACATGCACTTTAAAAACATAAGGCAAACATTTAAATCAGAGATGGAAGTGTGTATGGGAACAATTTTCAGCTGTATAACTCCATGCAGATTTGGTAATAGTGTTCCTTGTTATCCATCTGTGTGTAAAACTACAAGATCTGATACACAACTGCAGCATCAACATAGCATGGCACAAGCAATTACATTTGGAACTTAAGACTGCAATTTTGACTTAAGGTTTGGGAGGGATTAATGAATCTAAGAAACATAAAAATGGAGTACAGCAAAGTGATTTTGATCTATAACAGGGAGTATACATTGAACACTGAAAACTTGTGTGGTGTTAATCATCAGAAAACTTTGTAGGCTGGCAGGCCTGCTGTACAGTTAAATGGGATATGAATATGCATAACTGTCCTTTGTACCTTGGCATGTCTTTGCACTACTGTGTGTTTATATGATGTTTTTATTCCTATTTTTTTCTAATTGGGGACAGTAGGTTTAAAAGGGCATTACAGCAATATTGGCATAGACTATAAAACTTATCAGATGTTCACTGCTTATAAACACAATACACTCCCTCTTTCGCTCTTTCATCTTATAACTAGCAAAAAAAACCCCAACAAAACGGAAATTACACTTAGAACCTTTTGTTTAAGTCCTTTAATTTAGCTTTGCAACACACTCAGATTGCAAACTGCTGTGTCTACTTAGTAGATCAAGAAACTGTGGGACAGTGATATTAAGTGACTTATCCAACTTGCATCACAGACTGTAGCAGAACTGGAAACAGAAGCCAAATGTCTTATGTCTCAAATCTTTGGTCCAAGACATCAGATTCAAGACTAAAAATCAGACAAAACTCAGGAGCATGGCTTCTTAGGAAATGCATTATTTTGTTCAGGGTTCCTTAGGGTCAAAAGTAAATTTGTTTGTAATTCAGGTACCAAGATAATAAATGAGATGTAAATTATAATGCAAAACATACTTCTGATGATTATTTTTATTGAAAAGTGCAAAAACCAAATCAAGTTATACAGGGAAGCATGCTAGTTTCAATCAAGTTTTTTCTCAAGAGAGGTTCAAGATGGAATTTCTAGTTACAGAAACCCAGCACAAAAACACTGGATGTGATGATGGCTAAATGGTTTGGGTACTTACCCTCAGTTTAGGAAAAAAAGGCTCAATCTCTGTAGCATCGATTCTGGATGGTGATTTGGGTCTGGTTCATCATTTTCATCATATGTGGACACTGGTTATTGTGGTGACAGTCTCTTGCTGTCTTCTCTCAAAACTGTAAGGGATGTCTATTTCATTCAAACACCACATGCAAAAACCTTCAGGGTTTTGGTGTATTTTTTTTTGTTTTCTTTTTTTTTGTTTGTTTTTTGGGTTTTTTTGGTATGAAACTGTCCTTTTTCACACAGCTTCTAATATAGATGCTTGAGTAGTCTGGTAGTAGCATGTTCAAAGTTCAAAGCCAGCAGTGATCTAAATCATCATTCTACAGCCTATACAAAATATCTGAACCATCAAGACCAGGTGTTTACAACACAAAAACCATTACAGTAAATGCAACACGTTTCCATTAGTTTTTGACAGTTTTACTAAAGCAGCCAAAGCCAGAATGGAGTATGAGCCAGAATATTTTGCTTGATCATTGAGATTGCCTGTTCTCTTCAGGGCAGAGGTATGTTGCAGCAGAAGGCAGAGGCCAAACTAAGTTGTGATGTGGAGAGAGGAAGGAGGAGTGGAGCTCTGCAAACCATATGACTGTGTGTGACCCAAGGTTCACACTATGCTAAGTGATGCTCACTGGAGGGAAAAGGAAAGAGGCAGCTCTATATCCCTCCTGAGTTTCCATTGCAGTCTACCTCTAGGAAGAAGACTGCTTTGTGTGTTTAACAAAGACTTTTAGTCTTCACTACTGTTGATTATGTTAATTTTTTAAAAATAAATATTAATTTTGAAAAAAATAATTAATTGTGCTACATGCACGAATCCAACTTTGTAGTTAACATATTGGGATGCTTGGACTGGGGCCAACTCTGTATTTTACTTTCTGATTTTTGGAGCATTATGTCATGGTGAAACCAGAGAAAGTGTGTAATAGATCCATCCCCTTGTTATCTGTGATCTTACTAGTTCCACAGCTTGCAAATCCTCCAAATTAGGTTCACATATCAGCACTTCAGTAGTCTTCAGCAGCATCAGCTTGACACAACATAACAAGCTTTCTGATACTGAAATAAATGGCCACCATTCAGCAGCAGTGGTGTAAACTGGATTTTGCTTTCTTTTTACTCTTGCTGAGTAACATGTGTTCAAGTATTACAGGAGTTTATTTCAAATTGTCCCTCTATTTTTGTGTATGTTTGTGTATGTGTATTAAAATGTCTGTGAATTAAATTTGTCAGTGAATGCTCTCTTTTGCTGCAGAAAGTTTGGGCCAGCTGAAATCTAATATCAAGTGCAGAAGTCCTACAGATCTGTACATAAAAGAACATAGCAAATGTTCCTATTAAAATGTACAGAAAATTATCATTATGCTTTAATAGATAACATCAGCTTGGGTCTCCCTGTGCATGAGAACCACAAATAGTATGTTTAATGGCATGATTGTAGACAGCACTTTGGGGAGGCACAGTGAGCACAGGATGAACAATCCTCTTCCTGCAGCCCTTTGCCTCATTTACCGGACACCTTCTAAGTCGTGCAGCGAGCCAGGCGAGGCGAGGGACTGAGGGACAATGGGCTCATTCAGTGCAGAACACTGATTCATTTCTGCATCACCTTTCACTCTGCACAGCGGATGAAACGGGGGGCGGGGGGGGGCAAGAGGTGGAGGGCGTCTGTGGAAAAAAATAGCGTGCATTTTGTGTAATTAAAGATTGTATATTAATGTACAAGCACAAGAGAGCTCTAGTACAGTTGAAAAAACACTCTTCATTTGAGGATTTCTTAATGGTTGCATGTGGAATGTCAAAAATACCAGAATAGGTGTGTTCTAGTAGTTTTTAACAATTTTTGTAATGTATATGTATACACATTTGGAAATGATTCATATAAAGTTGACAGTAATTTTAATGTGTGAGATGATTAAATTTGAACAGGGTTCTCAAAAGAGAAATGTTAATAAAAAAGGATCCTCTTTTTTTTTCTCTTCCCCTTTTCTGAATATTTCACAGGAGATGGAAATATTTCAGGTCTGCCAGTGTTTAATTTTTGTTTCAGCATAAGTTAAGTAGTGACATATAAAATTTGTTGCTTTGGATCTTTCATGCTTTTCTTCCTTATAGAAAAGATGCTGTACATATGGACTATGTTTTCTGTACTGCATGGCAGTTAGTCTCTGGGGATGCATTCTAGCAGACAGAATAGATCCTTTTATTTCAGTTTGGATTTGATCAGATAAAATACATTGATTCAAGGATATTAAAGTAATTCAGCTAAAAAGCTAAAAAATAAAAAGGAGTATTTTTAAACTTTTGTCTCAGTTAATTATAAAAATCAGAATATCAGACTTTTCCCTAGGGTGGAAAGTTTTATCATCTATGCCACTTAGAGATTAGGCAAAGCAGATGATTATATTGCAAATCCCTATTAACACATAACATCTTATATTCATCTTTTTTTTTAATGATTTATATTCTATTTCAGGCTTTGTGTGTGGTCTGGACAGGGCCTCAGTAGAGCAGAGACTTCGAGACTTGTGCCAAGCTGTGCAATGTTATGGTGGTCTGATGATATGGGTTGCTGCTATTTTCTGTTTTAATAACAACTGTTTTCTTTTAACATTATAAAGCTGGCAGTTGTTAGTGCTTTTAATTGAACTATCCATGAAGTGTGAATGATAGGTGGAGCTGGCACAAAAGATGATCCAGAAAAAATTAATAACATTAGTAACAGGGCTGGGGTTTATTTCGCCTGCAGAAAATCCCTTCTCTGTGACCAGCCAATAGACTCAGCATTTGTGTGTATGTGTCTCCTTCACCACCACAGACCTTAATACTTTGTATAGTCTGTTTCCCTTTAAATGCTGCTTTAGGCTTGAGTTCACATGTCTTTCCTTAGCTCATACTATTTTTGTAGCAGAGCCAACAGCCTGACAGCACTTTTAAAAAAGAATGAATGGGGTTAAAGTACCCAAGTAGTGATACGTTGTTTTGATGATTGTTCCCCATAGTTTTGATGACTGTTCCCCATAGTTTTGACTGCTGAGCAGTCAGATATTGGTAATTCACAAAGAAAAAAAACAATTGAAATTCAGATTATAGGCTTCTCATGAATTGTTGCAGTCTAACAGTGAAATACTTCCTTTAGAAGAGTCTGCCCTCATAGTGTCACTGTCACAAAGATTACTCCTGTCTGTGTTATTCCAGGATTTCCAGTGCTGGATGAATTATTTTACAGAGGTCGCACTTGTCTCAAACATACATGGATCTAGCCTGTACTGCGGCGTGCCTACTGGCACAGCAGTTGCAGCTCCCTGAGTCAACATGTGTGGGAAGAGACTTGGGAACCTTCTCCAGGACAGGCCGGTGAGCTCTCATTATCCAACCATCTGGACCCCAGATTATTCCAGATGTGACATGTGCAGTAAAGGCTGCCACACAAATACGTGTTATGAATTCAGCTCATTTTATTTTGAGTTATAGAGTTTTGAATTCGCTCTGTTCCTTCATCTACAATAAACAAACACATGTGTATGTGTACACACACATTACTGCCTTTATATGCTGTACCTACCTCCTCATCCACTCACACCCCAAAAAGCTTCACTGAACTTGCTCCTATGGAAGTCCATTGTTCAACTTCTACATTCTTCACCTGTGGGAGATTATTATTTCCGCTCTTATCTCATCTTGGTCCTTCTGGCTTGCTTGACTTGCTTCGGTAACACAATGTTCCAGGAAGATGATTTCTTTCTTTATCACAAGTGCCATGAATGACTATGTCAGGGGGGAGAAACCTGGAAGTTCAAGAATGGGAAGCAATTATACATCATGCACCCTGTATCCTTTAAATGTTGTATTATTGATTGCTGGGGAATGAGAAGCCAAGTCTTTGAACAAAGAAATACATAACAAGCTGGGACAAGTGTGGTGAGGCAAATGTTCATGTGGAACAAATATTTCTATAAACTAATTCAAGAGCACAGGAGAATTTTTAAGGGACTCATTTGCAGGACATAAATGCTGACCTTATGTAGTCTCTATGTATAGAAACCTTCCTGAAAGCAATATTACAAAGTACAGACTAGAGTTAAGGAATTCATTTATACAGCGAATTGACCCCTGAAGTCTTATTTTACCTTAATCTCTGAGGCGCTGGGATGAGGGATAGTTTGGGGTTAGCCACGGTCTGACTTTGGACACTCAACTGAAGCACCCAGCCTGGAAGACCAACCTTTCCAAATTCTGTACAAGTACTCAGTGGAGGATACAGAAACATCTTGGGACCATTTCTGAAAAATTGCCTGACAACTGCCTGTCCTTGTCTATTCACTATAGAAATAAAGGGGAGACAGAGAGGATCCTGAGTCAGTAGACTAAGGCATGTGGTGTGAAACACTTCTGTGATCCCACACTGTCTTCTGTCAGTTCCTTTTGTTCTTTACCAACAAGTCAAATTATATGAAGATGGAGCAAGGAGGTTTGGGTTTTTTTCAGCTTGGAAATAACCAACATATATGGTATTGAATGTATTTTAGATGACCCCCTCTAACGTAGTGCCTGCTCTACAGTTGTTTGAAACTGTGAAGGAATGGATAACTTAACCCATGCACTACTCCAGGAAGAAACTGGTACAATGCCCTTTTTGTGTCTGTATCACCACAGGAAAGCAATCTGTTATGTTAGGGAGGACACTAAATTTGCTTAATTATCTTAATTATTTACATGTTCATACACCTTCAGACTCTTTATATCCTAAACTATATCTCCTAACTGGAGTTGTTCTGGATCTTCAGATTCTGGCTTCTTGCTTTTTCTCTAAAATAAACACCTTTTGGGTTCTTGCAAGAACAATTTTTTTTCCATGTAGGCTTTTTACTTGCTTCCAGCTCCTATTCTTTCCTAACCTGGCTTTCATACTTCGTTTTGACTGTAGCAGAGTGCTTTGTCAGTTAACCATATTTCCTTAGCATTTTGTTGGCCCCCTTTCCAGTTAACTTGAGTATAAATAAGTACAGATTGCCATTCCGGTAACTTCTCTCTATAGTCATTGCTTCTGGTTTCATGCTATAGTAAGGTCAGATGCTCTTTGAACTGGTATTGTCTCTTCACTTGATGGGTAATGCAGCCTGTCTTCTCACACTAGAAAAACTGTAAGGTTGGTTTGCAGAAATTCCTTTAACACATTACTTGAGCATCTTGTCTGATAGTAGAGATGAACCTCTTTCTCTATGTTTTGATAGTCATCCAAATCCCTTTAGTCTCAGCCCTCTTGTGCATTGTTCTGGGAGTTTTCTTCCTGTGGACAGCTAAGCAGATTCATGTGGATCATCTCCAGATCAGTCCCTAGGTTTTGTTGCTTTACAGCTCCTAGTTAAGAAAGATTATAAAAAACAGGGTCATTGTTGTCTCTGTTCCCTCTTGTTCAATTTGGAGAATGTTCTGGCACACAGTAAGCTTCAGTGAATCCTAGCAATCTGGCACTGGGTCTGGACTTTGCTTACTTCCTAACTTAGGCTTATAGGCCAGGAAAATGTTGTAATGTAGTTTCTACTCTCCAGTTAGTCCTTGGAGATTCCCCCTCTTCAGATTCAACTGTAGACCTTCATATATTATTTTCTCTGCTGTTTTTTAGCTCAGCAGATTTCTTATAACTTCCTGCCTAACGGGTTCATCTCCTCCTCTTCACTCCTTATATGAGCATGAGGTCACAGTGAGGTTGTTTACTCATAAGTCTGCTTCCAAAAACCTTTGTCCCTTCAGTTTGTAACCTTTTAAACCCTTGCAGGACTTTAAACATTTTCAACTCAGTTGATTCTTTTCTTTTGAGTTTTCAGTTTATGTGATTAATCTTTATTTTTCAGTGTGTGTACTTGAGTGCTACAAGATTCTTATACAAACACAAAAGACAAGAAATAAATATATTGTACAAGAGGCAACTGGATAGGAATGAGAAACAGCAACTTCAGTTTTAGCCTAACAAAGACTGGAAAGAAAAAGGGAAGATGTGATGAGGATAGGAAAGCTCCAAAACCCAGAAACTAAACACCTGTCCTTCTGCTGCTCCACAGCTGGTATTGACTGATTGATTGATTGATTGATTAAATGATTGATTCCCAAAGGACAGTCTTGTAAGATTATCACAGTGAAGTTTGACACTTATGCTCTTTTCCCACATTTTTACATTTCCCTGTCCGGTGTTCAAGGAGATCTGGATACCTAGGGTGAAGTAGAGACAGTGACAGCAGTTTAGAAAATTCTGGACATTCTGGATGTCAATGGGAAAATTTTCCCTGATTTTAAAAATACCTAAATGCTTTACCCGTGATTGGAAAGCTGAAAGATAGCACAAAGAAAGACTGAGTGTGACTATTTACCTCTGGGCATATAAAAAGTGAGCACATGTGGATGGCTGACCCCTCTGGTACTGGGAGAGAGGAGCCAGAACACAGCACCCTAGTCTATCAAATTATGTTCTCAGATCAAAGGTAGCTAACAGCTGCTGGAAAGGGAAATAGGATAAGGAAACATGCAGACTTTTGGAATGATATGAATCAGTGCAACAAAAAGATGTCTTGAGAGAAATCCTGAAGCAGCTGATTTTGTAAAACCTGGTAAGTATACAGTGTGTTTATTTAAAACCTAATTAACTTTCAAGATGATACAGACAAACATTTGGGGGCTTGTCTTCTGTGTGAATTCTAGATGAGTTAAACAAATTTTTGGAACTTAGGCGTTAATTAGGCATCCTGTCCAGGACAGGGTAAAACTGGTTTTTCTACATACACAGCAGGTTCACTGCAAGTGATTTAGGCACATTTAAATGAAGAACACATCTCTCCTCTGAAACAGAGAACATATCTGAGAATCAAAATACAGAATTTTATGGGTCATACATAAAAAGAGGTCTCTAACTGTTTTTTAATTTTTTTTTCCTATTTGAAGGAAATTGGATTTGAAAAAACCTTCTCCCACTTGTCCAGTATTAGGTGAAGAACTTAGTTTTGAGCAACAAAAAAACCCCCACAAAAATTCATGATCTCTACCCTTTAACCCTTATAAAGGTTTGGAGAATGGATCTGTAGGCTGATAATTATGTTATTTTCTAAACAAAAGTATGTTTTAATGAAAATATTTATCAAACAGTTTCCTTCTTACTGGAAGTGACTTTAATTTTTAGGACTTTTAAAGTGTTTCAAGAAATATTTTGAGCTTTATAGCTCCACCCTCCAACTGACAAACCCATCCTAGAAAACCAGAATGTTTCCAACTAAGTATCAACAATTGCCAGTTCTCATAGAACCAAACATGCTGTTTTAGTCATGCCTTGTTAGCATTGCCATGATTTCATAAAGCAGGTCTTCACTGGAACTGTTCTTCCTTTCTTTTCAGATATATAGAAATATATATAATATATATAGATATAATATATAGTATATATATATAATATAGAGAAAATTATTTCATTTAGTTGCATGAACAGTGCAGTAAGATCTGTGCCATAACCTCTCCCAGACAAAATCTACTATGCAGATTGCTAAAAAATATAACAATGTGTTTGAAGCCTGTGTGCATAGCACTCTTCATCCACTGTGTTAGATCAAGTAATGATCTAACAAGTATTTAATTTCTTTGCACACTTTGGATTGTGCAAAAAGAAAGGAGATTGGTTTGTACATTGTCAGCACTGGACTTTATAGATCACACTGAATTCTGGAAGCTCAAGCCAAAGCTTCAGTGAAGCTCAAGCCAAAGCTTCAGTGTCTGGTAGCGATTCTTCAAAACACAGCCACCATTGAGCAACACCCTCCCATGTGGTACAAGGTAAAGAAAAATAAAAATTGAGGGATGGCAGCAATCATTCTTAAGAAAAACGTGACATGTGGTGCCGCAAGTACGATTTTAATAATGTGAGGGGTTTTGCCAATAGGGACCATAGAATCATAGAAAATGTTAAATTGGAAAGGACCCATCCAGGTTCATGGAGCCCAACACCTGGTGCTGTGCAGGACACCCCAAGAATCACACCATATGCCTGGGAGTGCTGTCCAAACATTTCTTGAACTCAGACAAGTTTAATGCTGTGATCACTTTTCTGGGGAGTCTGTTCCTGCCCTGGAGGGAGTTGACAGCTCCTCCACGTTTAGTACTGTCAGCAAACTTAGTATTCCTTCGACCAACAACCTCGAACAACCTGTGTCCTGGTTGTTAATGAAGAAGTGGAAGAGAACTGGGGATGATGCTTTCTATTGGGATAACCTCTCTTCTCAAAGGAATTTTTAGGGAGAATTTATTCACCTTTTCTTTGAGGACAGTGGCCAGTAGACGTGATTTCTGACACTAGAATGAGAAATTTTTGGGGGAATTATATCA